CTGGTTTTAACCCAATTCCGGGCTGCAAGAGAGAGAATCGGACTTTTTGAGCAAAAACATAGCCCTAGAGAGAGAAAGGACGAAGAACACATCCTAGAAGCCATCTTGGAGCTGGGTTTCATCAAATCAAGCTTGGAGATCTTCATAGGAGTGGAAATCATCATCCCAGAGCAGATTCTTCCCGTAAGTATGAGTATGACTGCTTTGTATCTTGTTTTCCTCTCTCTCTCTATGGAGTAGAACCCCTCTCTCACTTGGGGATGAAGAACCCTAGTTCTATGTGTTAGGGATTGATTGTAATGACTTGGGATGATATTACTGTTTGACTTTAATCGAATGATGCATGTTTATTGAGTCAATTGAAGTCTGATCAACTTTTCCTGATTCCTGCTGCAATCTGAGATAGATAGAATCTGATTAGGTTGCTAGAGTCTCATCATTCGATAGTAGGAGATTGGCTATACGAGAGTTAGCCAGTTTACTGCTTTGTACTGGAATCCAATTCCAGTAGTGGAGTTCTGTTCTTACTGCTTCAGCTTTCTATCCCGGTGAAGACTAGTCGTCTGCCGGGTAGTTAGACTGAGAGGGCTTGGTCAGCTTAAGAGATTCCAAGCTACTGTCGGATCTTTCGTAGTCTAATCAACAGTAAATCAACCCAGGGAAATACAATTGAAACCTAACTAAGGAGCTAGGGGTATTCATTCCCGAGTGACTCTTACCTGCTTGAGAAAACCGTATCAATTCCTGCTTTCTTTCTGCTTTTGTTTTTAAACAACAATCACTTATTTTAGTTGGCTAGATAATAGAGAATCACTGAGTAAGCAGTAGATCTAGACCCCGGGTTGATAATATAACTTGTCTGTTACTGCATTCCCGGTCTGTGATTACACTTGGTCGCAGATTGGTGTTGTGTTTTGGCGTGCTATCAGGCAATGCACGGAAACTCCGCCCATAGGTGTTTTTGAGTGAGTCAATATTGAAGAATGGACTAACAAATTTACGGGGGTCTTTGCTCCTGTTTTTAATTACGGCCATTGCATGAGAACAAGGCCACCCTATCCCCTGATACTTCTGGCATGAGCACTCACCAACTTTTGTCCTGAAATTGACCAAAACTTCATGGGTGTGGCCCCCCCATCTACCATCCTCCCGATGTCCGGTCGTCACGCTATACTCGCCATTTGCCTGATTCATAACGATTACACTATGTCGACTGCTCTTGCGATTGTCATTCTCCATTACTTCGGTGACTTTATAGGCAAGGACCTTTCCCTATGCCTCGTTCGTCCTTGCCCAGTGGAGTCGGTTGACGAACCATGCATTCGTTTTCCAAAATGTCATCTCCACAATGGCAGAGATTGGCATTGAACGAACAGCCTTGTAGACAGAGTTGATACTCTCACATGAGTTCGTTGTGGCAATACCCCATCTTGTCCCTCCATCTTTACGAAATGTCCACATGGATAGGTCATGTCCATCCAGCCACTATGCCCCTTCAGGGCATAACTCGCGCATCTTCTGCAACTTCTCCTGAAATTTTTTCTCTTGGTAGGCAACCGCTGAAGAACACACATAGAAGTATATCGTTTGTCAATTTTCGGAAGTTTAGTACAATTCGAACAACCCGGAGGCACTCTCGTTAGACTCTTTGGAGAGGTATAGATCTCTTTAGAAACACAGCCTGTTTGACAGAAAAAGGAGGGATCCGAAGATCGCTTAAAACCCGATTTTTCCAGGAAATGGGAGGACCATGATAATCCCTTAAAACCCCATATCCTTAGGCATGCATCTCTTTAGAAAGAGTCTAACAAGTGCACCACTCTCCTGATTACAAGATATTGTTAGCTAAAAAAATTAAACGGCTAATAGAGAGCTTACCAATCCACCACAAATTATCAGCAAGCTTCTTCTGCTTGAAATGATGGTTCCAGTTGCTCTTGAAGTGTCGTATGCACCACCTTTGGGATCACTTCCAGGCTGGATCTAAACCTAAGATGGCAGCTCTAATGGCAGCGTGCCGATCAGAGATTATTGTCAGGTTCGTCCTCCTAGTGACGTGGAGCTGAATTTGCCAGAAAAACCATCCATAGCTATCAGCATTCTCTCCCTCAACAATGGCGAAGGCTAAAGGAAAGACTTGTATGTTTGCATCTGCCCCACTGGAAATCAGGAGAGTGCCCTTGTACTTGCCGGTAAGGAATGTACCATCCACTTGGATCACAAGGACACAGAAGCCAAAACCATCAATAGATGGCTTGAATGCCCAAAAAAGTCGTCTGAAATGGCGTTTGTTACCTGGCTTTGGGGGTTGTACCTCTTCATCTTGGTATCGAGGGGAGAAAACAGTACCAGGGTTAGACGCCTCCAATGCCAAAATTAACCTGGGAAGGAATGCATATGATTCTTCCCAATCACCAAAGACGGCGGTAAGAGTTTTCTGCTTTCCATGCCACGCCTTCTTATAGTTAATCATATAACCATAACGACTTGCAATGTCAGCGATTATGACTTTCACCTTCAGGTCTGGATCTCGCTCGATTAGATGCTTGATAGCCGCATCAACCACCCTGGATTTCAACTGTCGATGGCCTTGGGAAGTTATGGATGACACACATGTGTGTGTGTTCACCGCACGGGATATATTCCAGTTGCCGTGCCTCTTGCTATTGATGGCCCGAATCCTAACATTGCACCCCTCGTGATGATTATGACATTTGAATAAGAGCCTTTTAGTGTTGGAATGAGTTGTGTGCCATTCAAAATGTCGAGTCATTGCTTCAGTCTCAATGGCGTGTCACACCTCTTTCTTCGAGCCAAATTGTTGGCCCTTCATAAACCCAGTGAGTGGACCCCATATTGGGACCTCTGGCGGCTCCATGTCGCTGTCGACCATCCAATTGTCGTCTGGAATGTGATTATAGTAGGGGACTGGTACACGGTCACGAGCCACCTCATCATCATTATCTGAGTCTGACTCTGGTCCTGAATCATCAGCACCTTCAAGAGGGTCGGAGCTATCTGCACTGACGTTGTTCTCTCCTTCTTCATCGGAGGGATCACTAACTGGTGCTGGCGGGGCAACTTCCATCTGATCCATAATGGTAGTTGTCAAAACTATCGCTGCCTGATTGGAAGTTGTACTGAGGTTGGTTGGAGAGATCCGGTTGAACTTCCTCTTCATATGAAGGGAAAGATTGATGATGACCTTCACCTTGCTCTTGGTACTTAAAATAGGAATGAGGATCATGGTAACTTTGGTAGGGATGAACGCCATATAATTCACCTCCACCATGGATACCAGATGTTTGACCGTGTCCAGAATGACCTCCAACGCCAACGGCCGCCTCGGTGTAAACGAACATCTCGGCTTTGGAAAGATTGTTGGACCTCAAGAATTCGAGTATGGAATCTACTTCATCCTGAGTGGTTATGAGATATTCCTCATGCCACAATGACCCACTTTTTCTATTTGGATATCGGTACACCATACGATCAACTCTTCTCGTGCCATCCATGCAAGTAACGTTAGTGCACATTTGATGGAGATCTTCAAGCAGCGGTCTGGTAGCGACCTTTATTTTTTGAAAATTGCCACCGACGTAGGTGACCCCCTTTCCGGTCTCTTCCGTGTAACCATTCCACCGTAAGCCAAGCGTGAACTTTTGGAATGCCATCTGCAAAAAAAAACGTAGTTTAGTTAATATCATAAAAATCACAAATCACAAATAACAATAAAAAATAATACAAAATAAACTTACGAGTTAACGTTAATCGCAAAAACACCAAAGAAATATAGAGCTAGAACAGAAAATTGAAAAGGGAGAAGAAGAGGTGTGAAGAGAAGAGGTTTTCCGTGCAGTCTTTTATAGGCAAAATCACTGATGAAAACCGCACCTTAGAGATGCGTTTTTCGTCTGCCATGCAGCCCCACGTCTATTATTCTGCATGGCTATATGTCGGGTGTCGGAAAATAATTGACACAGGTGCGGTTTGTGTGGCAAAATCGCACCTTGGGGGGTGCGGTTTATATATAAACCGCATCTCCATGGTGCGGTTTTGCTAGGTCAGGCCAAAACCGCACCTTGGCCATGCGGTTTATGTAGGTCAGACCTGAAACGCATGGCCAAGATGTGGTTTTGGCCCAGGATAGTAAACCGCACCCTCCAGGTGCGGTTTACATATAAAACGCACCTTGGAGGTGCGGTCCATAAAAAAGGGTGCTATTTTTGTAAATATTTTCGGGTGGGTGCTATTTTTGTAATTATTTTGTTAAAAGGTGCTATTTCTGGAAAAATCCCAAAATATCATCATCTATAGTCTTTGGAAGAGTGTAATCTATGAATGAAGAAAGGGATGATTTTTGAAATCAAGGTTGTAGACATTGGTGTTAGAGGGGAGTAGGGAGAGTGGTCGAGTTTGCTGCTAAATCTAATTGAAAAGTGAGTTGGGTCAACGTTCTGGTCCGATAAATCACTTTATGGACCAGACCAAGAGAAAAAACATCTCACAACAGACAATGGACCATACATAACTATTTTCTATGGTCTATGATCCGGACAAGAGAACTTTCTTTGTCGAATTCGGATTTCTTGGCTCCTTCCAAGGTGTGTGGTTTTTGCTTTTATGATACAACTTGAAGTTGTACCTTTAACATTATGGTCCAACTTTTGATTGTACCCATACTCTTTTGTACAAATTCATTTATGTTACAACTTGAACTTATATCTTTATGTGATAGTACAACTTCAAGTTGTACGATAACATAATTGTACAAATTTCGTTATGATACAACCTGAACTTATAATTTTAACGTTGTGGTACAACTTTAAGCACAAATACTTTATAGCATACTAGAAGCGCTAATTGGGTACTTTTTTCGGTTTCAAATTTGATTACCAGATAAGGAGTAATTTAAAATGCATTTCCACATTGTTGATCCATGCTAGCACTTGTTACGGAAATGAATATAAGTACCTAAAAATTAGTCTTTGCGATCAACTTCCTTCAAGTTACTTTTCTTCAAAAGCCTTTGTGACCATGTTTTGAAAGTGAAACACTACCGCATAATCATGAGTTCATGACTCCCTCCCTCCGACCAACAAAAATCAATTGAAAAAAGCACCACATTATTACATGTAGAAAGAGTACGCAGATCGAGTTTGGTTAAACTCCTCCGATTCATTTGCATCCAGTTAACATTACATGCATGCATGTAGCTTCTCGATCGTTACTTAAAGATAAAGTACCATACGATCTTATCTTAAGCTTCCCCTTGTTGTTTGGTAGACAAACAAAACAGAAAAAAAAGAGAGTAGACATTAAGCAGATCGTCGGCGGCCATTAATTCATTCATTCTTGAGTAGATCATCAGTGATTAGGAGCACCAGCGAGGCCGACATTAGCTGAACCGAAGAACCCATCCTTCATTAGAAGATGATGATGCTGATGATGATCTTCCGCCTCCTACGAAAACAAATTAAATAGGTATGAAAAATAGTTAAAAACAAACTGATTAAGGGCTGTGTTAGTGAGGTATTAGCTCTTAATGGGATAAAAAAAACGTTACCTGAGGGTGGTGGAGGAGTGTAGTGTTGGTCGTCTTCTTCAAGGGCTGATGATCTGGCATCAGACCAAAGTGAATGTGGGGGAAGTGGGCCCACTGTCCAAATATAAAAACAAAAATGTCAAGAAAACTAATCTAGTTTGGCGTTTAACCAAAACCAAACCCGTTTTACATATTTATCTATTTTCTTTAACGAACAAATGCTGACAGTGCTTTAACAATTTCGGTTATAACCTTAAACCCTAATAAATCAATAAAATCAAAGATTTTATTTTACAGTTTATTCTGACCAAAACCCACACGTCCTTAATAGTTTGGTTTCAATTTCTGACAATTGACTAATTCGAATATTAGTTTTCTAATGATTTTCGGCTCGGTTACCGCCACCCCTAAAATACTACAATGCAAAACGAACCACCACAGAAAATTTTGAATATCCCTTAAGAAACTCTAGCATTTAATAAACATGGATGATTAAACAAGAGAATGAAGGGGAAATCCTAGCAAGCTAGACCAACCACTTGTGGGAAATTGGTGTGGAAGTTAGAAAATCATGCACAAAATTGTTGGATCCATTATCTTACATTCTTAGCAGCAGCACTGAAAGCTTCTCTGTGAGTGATATCAGGGTTCTCAGCCTTGATCCGCTGGATCTCCTCCCTACAGTACTCATTAACAAATATATATATATATAGTGATTATAGTGAAAACATGATGATGATGATGACATAATAATCGCCATGCATATGATACGAAGACTCACTTGATGAATCGGTTGTAGGCAGAGGGGACTCTCTGTCTCTTCTCAGGAGCTGAAATGAATAATAGCAACACAAGCACAAGGTTACTAATGAATTATTTTCATATCAATCACCCCTTTCTTCCATAGAAAATTTTTCTAAGGTAAATTCAAAGAAAAGGGAAGACAAATTCAAAGAAAATAAAATCTTGACGTACGAGATACTATAATAATCTTGACGAGATACTATAATAATTGGCTACTTGATGACTTGTTTGACTTTCTCCCCAACAATTTCTCTACAATTCCGGGCAACCAACCCAACCCACCAAACGGTAACTAACAAAGTTTCAATTAAACAATATAAATATATAGCTTGATCATAAAAACGCAGCTGCTCTCACCAAAAATAAAAAAAATGCAGCTGCTATTTCCGAGCAGCTTTTTTATGGCTAGCTAGGGTTCAGCAGCTGCAGGTTCATGTTCAACAACAGTGCTACCACTAGCTAGCTAGGGTTCTTTTAATATATCAAAGGAAAGAGGTCGTTTTGGTTCTTAAGAAACTGCTTCTTCTTCTTCTTCCTCTGTATTTTTTATTAATGAGAGTAATTTTTTTTTTTTGTAAAGAGAGAGGAAGAGGTGAATGTGATGTTCTTACGTCTGTTAACAACCATTGGCGGCGGCGGCCTTGCGAGCTCATCCGGCGAGACCTGCAATCCTCCTCCGCCTCCTCGAGCTGAAGTATTGAAGCCGAAGTAGTCATTGTTATTGTTAGCTGGTGAATTCAGCTGGTGTTGGTTGAACATCAACAAGTTCCCCGGCGGTGGAGTGGCGCCAGCACCAGCTGGGCTTTGGATCTCATCCTGATGAAAAAAAAAAACAACATTACAAAAAAAGAAATGAATCGGGAAGATGGAAAAAAAAAAAATATACATGCATAAAGCCCTAAAAGTTTTCTTTGGGGGATGGCGATCTGATTATATATATAATAAGTGAACAAAGAAGGAAAATAGTGTGCAAACAACACCCAGCCAGAAAGCCCTAGAATTGAAGCACATCGATATATATAGTACCAGAAGGAAGTTGTTGTGAGGGGAGAAGAAGGGCAAGTGGTGGGGGAAGTTGAAGGGAGAAGTAGGCGGCGGCAGCGGCGGCGGGAGCTGGACGAGGGCGCGCATGTTGACCGGGAGGAGGTGGGTGCAGTGGCCGCAACGAACCGTCACCGTTTTGAACAAACTCGCGCTAGGAACGCTCACCTACAAGTTTTCCTTAACTTTATGTACATGTTGTAGCCTGGAGGGAGAAGAATATATCAAGGTATTGGTTAGAGAGAGAGAGAAACGGACGGCGAGGACGGTGTCACAAATGTTGCAGTGGACGTAGCAGAGCTGCTCCGAGTTAGATGAAGGAGGAGGGAGCTGCTGGTGTTGATGGTCTAAGGATAAGGTTGGAGCTGCGGCGGCGGACATAGTCGACATTGACATTTGATGCTTTCTTGTTGGGTGCTTGGTTGGTTGGCTGCTTTTCTTCTGGATCGGCTGATTTTGATGATGTTGTCGATCTCCTGGATGAAAAGAACATGTGAGTGGATGCAGGTGATGATCACCCTTTGATTGACTGATTGATTGATGTTTTTGTTAGAGCTAGTGACATATATAAAGGCTAGTTTAATTTTACAGCCCCACTCCACTCTCTCTCTCTCTCTCTCTCTCTCTCTCTCTCTCTCTCTCTCTCTCTCTCTCTCTCTCTCTCTCTCTCTCTCTCTCTTCTTTAGAGTGTGTGGACTTGGACTGTGGAAGGAAAGTCATATACCTGTCCTTCCCTGTCGTCTCTCTCTCTTTTGATCTTGTCTCGTTTTAAGGCCCCGCTGATACTATTTCACCGGGATACCTACATTAGTATGATATTGTCCGTTTTGCGAGAAATTCACATAGATTTATTCTTCGGTTTCTTCCCCAAATACTTCATTCTGATGAGTTTGGTAGACACTAATATACAAGAGTCTTTTTTCCTTGTATCTCTATGAAAATTGAATTGTCAAATAACATATACGCTTTGTGTATATCCACATATGCATACAAATAAGATTATAAGGGTTGGGGGGGGGGGGGGGGGGGGGGGGGGGGGGGGGGGGGGGGGGGGGGGGGGGGGGGGGGGGGACAAACTCGTCCGATCCATACATTTTTAGTTGTTAGATAAGTGTGGTTGACTTTGTAAACTACGTTAATGTACGCAATTCAATTATTGAGAATGCGAGGATGCGATTGAAAGGCGTCGATAAGTCAAAATTACCCATTATCGGTCTTATGCTAACATTGTTTGATCGTCTCTACAATCTAGAACACACACAACTCAGCCTTGAAATTCGCTCATTCGCAATGCATATACAAACATGTTGAAATGAATGGTAGAGTTTTGGTAATGTGGGGGGCAAAGGGTAGTTTAGTAATCAACAAGGGGAGGTGATATTTATGTGGGTGGGCATCAACCCCAATGCAATGGGAAAAGAGATAGCTAGAGAGAGGCGGGCATGGTTGGCGGCAGATGATCCAGAGTCCAGTGGGGTGGGAAAGGGACGTATGCATGGCTCCATCGGGGCCGCGCGTTTGTGGGGTTTTCCGCCTTTTCCCTCATCGATCTGTTACTTTCACTAAGCCACCACCCTACTTCTTAACTCCATCCATACGAACCACAGCTACCCCTTTCTTTCCTGTATCCTGCTTTCCGTGTATATTTGTACTTGTGCGCATGGCTTCTTCTGTGTCTCTTCCTTTAAGTGAAACATAAGAACCCTAGGTACCATTGTCATGTCAAAAATACCTCCTCAATGCCTTAATTATGGATGGATGGTTGATTGTAAAACAGCTAGATCGCTTGAATCACATATAAGAGATTCATTAACATTGTTGGGCACGTATACTATTGAGTGCAAAGCAGTCAAAATCGGGATTTTATCTAAAATCGAAAATTGGAGTAAAATCGGAATCGTAAAATCGAATCGTAGAATCGTAGGATTTTAAGTACCACATAGAAATTAACATATAATAATATTAATAAGGTAAATCATTAATAACACAAAGACATATAACATTTAAAGTGATAATTTTCAAGATTAATGTTCCAAAATAATTATTGTAATTGTTATTTAATGCGTAACTCAAAATAATTTACGAGGAAGGGATAAAGCTCATGGGGTTTGGTTCTTTTTTTTTCATGTTGTGTCTAGGTAGTTTAACTCAAATTAGTATTCCGACATCGTCTACTAAGCATGATTTAAAACTAAGAATAAGTAAACTCTAATAAGAATTTAAATATCATTGGTTTGGTATAAATATATTGATTAATCAATTAATTTGTTAATAATGATGTTAATTCTTTCGTACTTACAATATTATGATAACTATTTTACCGATGAGTTAAACAAGGGGAAGGGAATGTGGTTGACCGAACCCTAATTAGGTTTTTTTTTCTTTTCAAATGTTCTTTTAATAGGGAAAATATCTTAGAAGATCCCCGTCATTGCCCTTTCCACCGAAACAGTTCTGTTTCTTTTGAATTGGCTCAAACTACCTATTTTGTTCACATAGGATCAAAATCCCGATTTTGGTACGATTTTACGATTTTAATCCCGATTTTGAACGATTTTAAGGTCCACCGATTTTATATTAAAATCAGGATCGGAATCTCTAAGTAAAATCCTAAAATCCTACGATTTTACGATCAAAATCCCGATTTTTACTGCATTGATTGAGTGGACCATGCTCATACAACACAGTTTACGAGCATATGCTCATACAGATTGTGAGTTGTTGGATCGGGCGTTAGGGGGATCTCATGGTCATTGGAGGGATGCGATGGAAATTTTGCAAATAATTAAATTGTCACTGCGTCCATCCAACTACCTTGTACGTTCAGCTCTTGACCTGACGGAGCACATCCTCTGTGAAATTGTTAGCTTCTCATATTCAAGAAACCGTTCTCATCACCTTCACATAGGGTTACAAATGAGTCGAGTCGAGTTTTAACTTAACTTGACCCGTCTCATTAGTAAACCAATCGAGCTCGAGCTTGACTTGTTTATGAAAACCTTGGCTTTTGTTTGATTCGAACTCGAATCATTAAGAGCTCACAAGCTCTACTCGAGCTCGGGTCATCGATTTGCTCGCGAGATCGGCTCTAGGTCGGGTATCATATATTTAGTTCATAATTTTAGTTGTTCAGATAATGTTATTTGATAGTAACGAGTATTATGATACATAATTTCTCTTTTAAATTATTGATGTTTCATACTTGATCATGTGCTCAAATTATTAAACATCAAATGTGATGATATAGATAATATAACAAACTTGTGAAAACTATTAACAAGCGAATAATAAACTGATTATCGATTCGCTTCTAAGTTACTGGTTAAGGTGACTTGCTAGAGATACTGCCGAGCCAACTCATAGTTCATTTGCAGCCCTCTTGGACAGCTTTGCTCATTTGCCGCCCTAGGTCTCCACACAAAATAAGCAGGCAAGAACAAAATAAAAATGGCGTTGAATTTCTTTGTTCCTAAATTTCCGAACCCTAGAATCCATCTCATAACCATCTCTCTGTACAGTACACACATGATGATGCCCCAATGATCATATGAACAATCAATCCATATCTCTATCTGCCCTTTCGGTTCAAGGGTCCCGCGTACGTCCTTTCTCTCGAGGCAATGTTCTTTTTTATCGCAATTTCCTTCCTAGCCGTATGGGGTGTGTGTGTGATTTGACCTTTCATAATTCTCTCTTCTGTTATGTCTTTGCAGACGGACATACAACATTTATTTCAAGTCAGTACCGCACCACTACTAGACACAGAGAGAGGAAAGACAACAACAATATATATATATATATATGTGTGACTGTGATCAGAGGGTCTTTGCGCAATTCTGCATGCCTTGTTTCGTTTGCAGGCTTCACACCACCTTTGTCCTTTCCCTGTAGCTTTTCTCCCCCTTTTTCGTTATAGCTGACTTCTTTGCTTTCCTGGCTTTATATGTTGGCTGGTTTTGTTTTTAGGGATCTTTGACATGGGTTCATCCATCCCTAGCTAGCTCGCTAGTGTTTCTCTTTTTGCTACAAATTTTGCAACAAAGCTACGATTGACCCTCCCTAGCTAGCAACTGAAAAGGCCGGGGTTGAGTATGGTGAGGAAAACGGGTTTGGTAAGGAAAAGTCTCCAGGAAAACTTTGCTAGCTAGTCTTGTAAGTACCACATGGGAGAAGTCTAGCTATATATTTTTCAACTTTGCCCATGCCAGCTTCGTAACAATTTCCCCACTTCATACTCTTCCATTGGACTATTGTTTCATATTAATGATTATTTTCATCTCTTTCAACGTAACACAAATAAAACTGAATGGATCAATGTGTAGTAGTGGAGAGGTCAAGAACCTTAACCTTATAATTAAACGGGAATATACGGGGACCTCTATTTCTTAAAATAAAGTTTTTGTCTATAGCTTTCTTCGTGTGTGGCATCTCGATGTGATTTTTCAAGAATCCAAATCCTACTAGTCTACTACTCATTCGTAAAAAAACTGCCTAATGAATAAATTATTTTACATCTTAATTTATTGGAGGAGATTGTTGAAATTCGGTTGACAACCCCAGAAGAACTAGCTTCTCAGATCCAGAATGTCAAGATTGATGATGAAGGAGTCAAACTATGATTCACTCCTAGTGAGGGTGGGAAAATGTGAGTTAGATTATGAAAAATTATCATTATTATGTTTGAATAATCACAACGTTGTTGTAGTTAAGATTACCTTGTATACCCTAAATCTATGGGTAGGACCTTTGCAAAACAAGTCATGGAGATAAAAATTAGGAAAGGATGAACATGGGGAACTATGGATTGCCTTAAGAGCTAAATTCAACTGGGAATTCTTGACTGAGAAAGCAAGAAGGGAAGAAAAAAACGCCATGGCTGAACCTCTGAACATCGACAATCTTGAAGCGCCAAAGAGAAAGGAGGGATACAAAACACCATATGGTTGAACCCTATAAAATCCAGTCTATGCCTTATCCTTATTATCTTCCTCTGTGGGAATATCTGTAACGCGATGAATGAGTGTACCTTCAAAAATTGCTCATGGCCCCAAACATACGTTTACAAACTTATCGGGAGTTCATAGAATGGACAGCATGTCCAAGACTATCTTAGCTCATGAAAACCCATTCTCATCCTTTGTCAAATTAAGGCCAAATTACACGATTGATCACTCAAATTATATAAATCTTTCACTTTTGCCACTTAAATTACTTTTCTTTCTATTAGCCACTTACTTTACGATTCGTTTCATCGTTAGTCACCGTTAATTCCGTTAAAATTTTGATGACACGGCAAACGAAAGTGCTGACTGAACTGATAAAAAGAATAAGTCATGCAAGTTGACCACCAAATCAGCCTCACCCAACCAAATTGACCAAAACATGTTACTTAATTTTATTTTATTTGTATTTTAAGGACTAAAAAGAAAACAAAATTAAACCCAACCCCTTCCAAATTCCAATTCGCCGTCTTTCCTCCACTTCGACAAAAACCACCGTCGCCGCGGAAGGAACTCGTGCTTCCCGTCACCACTCGTTCCAGAATTGTAAAACAGGCCGAAGATTCTAGGGCCAAGACCGTCACTGCAGTTCCCGAACAAGAAGATCGAACTGGTCGGACCGGTATCACCTGTGAGGAATTAATTGATTGCGGCGCCGAACCTAGCAAATTGAGCTTCAATCGATTGTGT